CTGCGCAAATCACTTAATATCTCAGTACATTAGAAAAAACTCTCTCAGAGAGATTTTTGCTACTAAGCTGCAGAGAAGGTACCACTTTCCAGTGATAGTATCAGACAGTCAATAAGCATTTGGCACATGCTTACTGGGCAGCTAGGTGGCATAGTATATAGAGCACTAGGCCTGGAGTTAGGAAGACCTGAGTTCAAATCTAGCCTCAGACACTTACTAGCTATAGGACCCTGGGCAAGTCACTTAACCCTATTTGCTTCCGTTTCTCATCTGTAAAATGAACTGGAAAAGGAAAATGGCAAACCATTCCAGTATCTTTGCCAAGAAAACCCCAAATGGGGTCACAAAGAATAGAACACAACTGAAATGAACATGACCGAAATGGACATGAACACACAAGTGCTTACTATCTTCCAGGCACTGTGCTGAGCACTAAGGATACAAAGATTTAAAAGAAAAACCAGTCCTTGCTTATAAAAAGCATACATTCTAATAGTGGAGCCAAAATATAAATAACTAGGTACGTATGAGATATAGGTGATCTGAGAGGGAAAGGCACCAGGAGCTGCAGGACCAGAAGAGGCCTCCTACAGAAACAGGAGCTCAGTCTTGAAGGAAGCCAGGGAAACTAAGAGGTGAAGGTAAAGGGGCAGGAGATTCCAGGAACGGGGCACAGCCAATACAAACACAAAGAGAAGTGAAACTGAGTGTCATGTGTAAGGAACTTAAAGGCCAGTGAGGTTGGATTGTAGAGTTTGTGAGAGGCAGTCTAAGGCAAGTGGAGAGGTAGGAGGGGGCCAGGTCATGAAGAGGTTGGAATGTCAAACAGAAGAGTTTGGATATGATCCTGGAGGTGACCTCACAGGGGAAGGGAGTTGGGAGGGGTCAGACCAGTGCACAGTAAACCTGAAGGATAGATTGGAGTATTATACTCTCCAGTCATCTTCTTAGGTTCAATAATTCCACTGCCATAGCCTAGCTGCGTGGATACAAGAAAGTCACTCAGTCTACCGGTGACTCAGGCAACCTTCTCAATTGCTGATCTGAATTGGCAGATGAGGTTTCCCCACCAGGAACTCCCTGCACTCATGAAGTTACAGATTTGGAGCAACAGCAAATAAACAAATAAACTTTACTTCTCATTAACTATTGAATAAAGTTCAAACTCATAATCCTGGAATTTAAGGCTTCCCACAATTCAACTCCAACTTGCCTTTCCAGTCTTATCTTCTATTATTCCCTTCTCTACCACAGTATAGCAGACAACAGCAATATATACTTGGAAGGGTCCTTAGGAGCCATATAGTTCAAAGAGTTTTATAGATGAAGAAAGTGAATAACTTGCTATAAAACACTGATTTTTTTCTATCTCTATACCTTTTCCTCATGCCATCCTTTCTAACTGAAAAGACTGTGGCATTTCTATCAGCTCATTCACCCTTCCAAGCCTAGCTCAAATGCTAACTCTTGCTAACTCCATGAAGCCGACCTATATCATTCCAGCCAACAGTGATCTCTCCCTACCTTGAGCACCTATAGCACTAACTCATGTCACTATTTCTTACTGTTCCTTGCGTAAAACTCCCCATCTCCCAACTCTGTGCCTTTTCACTGGCTGTCGACCATGACTGGAATAACCCTTTCAACTACTACCAGGCCACATATGAAGGAATGGATGGATGGATGGATGGATGGATGGATGGATGGATGGATGGATAGATGGGTGGAGTAACTGAATGAATGAATGCAGAGTACTTCCTATTCCTTGGTTCAATACTTTTTTAAAGTTCTCACTGATTTGTTTCACCTATGACCTTCTTTTTCCTTCCGAAACATTTGTTAAGGGAAAAGGTATATGTGGGAAAAGGGGGAGGGAAAGGGACGCAATATAGACTTTGTTGTGTCGTTTCAGTCTCATCCCATTCTCTGGGACCCCATTTGGGGTTTTCTTGGCAAAGATTTTGGAGTGATTTGCCATTTCCTTCTCCAACTCACTTTACAGATGAGGAACTGAGGCAAACAGGGTTAAATAGCTTGCCCAGAGTCACAAAGTTAGTAAGTGTCTGGGGCCAGATTAGAATTCAGGTCTTCCTGACTCTAGCACTTCTATCCACTGCACCACCTCTAGTTACCCTCAAAATACAGACTAGTAACGAGTTAAAACTTAGCAAGAGAAAGTCACCCGACAATGGCATGAGGTGTCGGAAATAAGATGATTGTGTTAAGTTTATGCTGTTAAGACTGGAATAAACAAATGATAAGAAATGGTATTCAAGTCAAGTATCACACCTTGGAGAAAAGGTTGACGAAGGGAAAAAATGTGAAAGTCAAAGTCAAACAAAGGAAGAACTGAAGTTGGAAGCCATTCTACTCCACATTTCTCAAACGATACATTATTTTGAAACCTTGAGATTCTCAGAGCAAGTAATCTAATTATATTGAATTGCTTTAAAGAGATACATCTACCTCCAGAATGGGATGAAAAAAGATCAGTAACAATTTGTTTCTTACATTTCAATATATGCAAAGAAGGTTCCCTAAACTTTATAAATGTGCCTGCAAATCTGAAATTGTTTCCATTTCTGTATAATCTTTTTTTTGGTTTGGCTGTTTTGTTTACCTAAGTTAGAAAAATTTCATTGGCCACCTTAGCTGTCTTGGGTACTGATTTCTTCTGTTTCTGAATTCATCAACATCTTCTGACTTGTAAAAGCAGTACGTATATTATTTTTAAGAGCATGGATGCATTTTGACCTCCTTCATTTCCTAATCTTACATCAGTACATCAAGGTTCTGTGATTTCAGCAGTATGATTATTCCCTCCACTGGTGCAGTTTACAATCTTAATTACAATATTATAGTAGTCTTCATAAGTTGTTGCTGCAAACAACAACGACAAAAACCACGATTTGGTGGCCAGCTACTTGGGAAGAGTTTCTCTGAACTTAATTAGTCTAATCCTTGGTTGAGAGGCATATAGTCAGCTTGGTAGGACCTCTGCCAGAGGTTGAGCCTAGCTGGCACTAACTTCCAAACCCAAATTTACCTCCATTCTATAAGGAGCCATTGGAGGTGGACTTTAGTGGTTTTACTAATTAGATATTATGCAAAAGATGTCCAATTCTATTTGGTACAAAGTTTCTTCCAAATCTGGTATCAAGGTACCCAGATTCCTACTCACACAAACCCTCCATGAACATGGGATCTAAGCCATATGCTTCAATGCAAAGTGAAAGTCAGGAGAAAAAAAGATTAATATTTTCCTATTTCCCACCTGAAACCCTAAAGGATCTTGTGAAAGTTGGCCTACATTAGTATGAAAACTGGCTGAGACCTCTGTGAAATGCTGTCTGGGCTCAGCAAAACAGTTCATGAACTCCGGTCAAACTTTCAACGAACCTGACCCAAGCCTTGAGTTTGTAATGCAACATGACACCAGGTGAGATTTCACATGGCTTCAGGTTTCATTCTGAAAACTTGGCTCAACTTTCTAATCAATCATCACTCCTTGGGACGATGAAAGCCAACACACCTTTTCTAAAAATGAGCACTGACGACAGCTAAACCATCGAGCCGCCCCTTAGTTCTGTTTTGCCAAGAGAAGAGCTTTCACAGATAAAGCAGTCTTGTCCTTACCTGGAACAGGAGGGTTGAGTGATTCTGATTTGGTGTGAAGAAAGAAATGAATGAGGTGCCATGTGAAATAATCACCTGGCACAAGGTAAGTCGACCTAAGTTAATCGGGAAGGGGTTTTGTATCTGACTCTATTCACATTCACAACAACCAATATCACGTTTAATCATCTTACCCAGGGAGATGTGTATTTAGCCTGAAGACAATCATCAGCAAGGATAATTGCCAGGAGCAGTGGAATGTTCAGAGGCAAGATCACTGCTCTACATTCATAAGAGTTAAAGAATAGGAGGGGAAAACAAGAGGCAACATAACTCATTTTGAGAAACACACGGAGAGAGGATCAGTGAGATTGCAAGCCTCTCGAGCTCGCATCTCTTTAAGCTTTTGCAATAAAACTCTCCAACCCCAGCATAAACCATTTCAGTAATCATCAATGCACAGGGCATATGGCAGAAACATATTGCTGCTTTCTACCTGAAGTTTTAACTTGCTGTACTATTCTTTTTAAAAAATGACCTTGTCTTCCCCTGAAAGCTTGCTTTTGCTTCTAGTGACATGAGAAAATGGAGCAACATATAACCCAACCAAGGCACTACATCATTAGAACAGTATGTCTGAACATGGGGGTAATGAGGCACAGATGTGAAGTCGGGGAATTGGCACTACCCAAGGTAACAGAGGAATGTTCACCACTGCATCGTAATGGTTAAAATAACCGCATTTGAGAAAGAAAAAAGAAACCCCATTGACAATTTCTTCCACGTATATCTAAAGTTAAAGTTATATCTTTTAACTGCTTTTTAACATCTCTAGAATGAGAGAAACCACAGTATTATTTATACTTAGCATGACGTTTAAGAAACAGAACATATATTTGCATTTTCTTCATATATGTGCAATATATTCATCTCATAACACCTAGATTTTAAGTGAAACCATAGAGCCAAGCCAATTACAAATTGACAGACTTTGTACTGCAGAAGGCCATGATTCTTGAGTAGACTATCATAGAAATGGAAAGGTGGTAGTGTTTTTTTTTTAATTAAAATGATTCTGGTCCTTACAGAGCAGGGTTCATTATTGTAAAGCATCCCACTAATAAACCGCAAATGAATATACAGCAATATTATGTATATATACAAGCTCCACTCCTATGCACAGACTACCATTACTTAAAATGCTTACCAAAGGAGTCTCGCTTAGAGATGATAAGGCATTCATTGTTGCTAGAAGCTACAAAACATGCAGGGGATAGGCAGCTAATAAGCCAGGGTACTTTTTATTAAATTAGTTTAGTTCTAAGAGCTCATTTTTTACTCAGGGTAGGAGGAAACATTTTTTTTTTCTTAAAGAAAATGCTTACCCGAGGGCCCTGATCCCCTTGATCTCCCTGCAAAGTGGAAAGATGAGATGATAGTTTTAACACAGCATATGTGTGCTACTATCTCATAATCTCAAATTACAGTATGTCAAGATAAACTAGGTCTAGATCTCTGATAACTTGGCTCATTTTTAATTTGGCTAGCATCATCTATATCATATTTTTACTCACCTTGTCACCTTTGGGACCAGGAGGGCCCTAAAAAGAGAAAGAGAAAGAGAAAGTGAAAATATTATTGTAACTTGAACAGACCACTAATTGGACTGAGGGGTATGTGAGCAAAACACACAAGTGACAAGGTGCTCTTTCCTTATCATGGTAACTCCTACAGGAACTAATGATTCTTTAGCCATATTTGTGTTCACAGAAAAAAAGACAACAACAGCAAAACCAAAGCTAAATGTGTCTCTGCAATTGTCTTCACTACTTTTCGTCGAAAAGGCTAGTGAACATTATAAAAATCAGAATATAGTTTTTTCTGCCTATGAAAACCCCAGAAATCTTGATTCTCCATTAGTGCTCACACACACACACACACACACACACACACACACACACACACACACAGACACTGAACCCCTCATAGAGATATTGAATTCCAGAGTTGCCAGGGTGCCAGCCTCAGTCATGTGCTGGGATATGGGGAGGTAGGGAAGAGAACAAGTATTTATTTTCTACTATGCACCAGTCACTGTGATAAGTACTTTACAAATATTATCTCAATTGATTTATATATGTACATATATGAATATGATATGTTCAGTGGACATACTTATGTCAAGTCAATTCAAGAAACATTTCTTAAGTGTCTACTAGATACAGAGCATGGCGGGAGAAGCAGAAGGAGATGTGTGGAAGAGCTTTGAAATTTAGGTAAGATGGATATAGATGGTCTTCTGGAACTTATTAATTTGGTAGGGGATTTGAATCATATACCAATAATAGTAATATAGAATAATCTCAGATAAATGCATTAAAATGGTGCAAAATGCTATGGGAGGTCTAGGAGAGAAGTTCATTTTCACCTGGGAGTAGTTTACCATGATATTTGGTTCAGAAATGCTCCATAAAAAATACCAAACAACAAAACAAAACAAAACAAAAAAAGAAATACTCCATAATGGTATAGAGACCATAATGCAGAACATTAAGTATCCAGCTTGTTAACCACAATTCTGAAGGCTTCCTGGTCCTATTGCCTCAAAATGTTACTACTTATTCAACGCTATTTAATTTATTCACCCCTTAAGAAATTACTATTTATCAGTGTTTTGGAGACTATACTGTCCCATGACTCACAAAATTTATAATAATACTAGAAGAATGAAGGAATTTTAAAAGATAGGCTTTTGTTTCAGAGAGAAGATTGAGGTCATCAAAGTGTGTGATGGGGGAGGGTGGTTAGCAGGGTGCAACATACTATAGTCAGGCAATCATTAAGCATTTACTTAACATCTACTACATGTCAAGCACTGTACTAAACTCTGGAGATACAAAGGAAAACCAAAGACAGGCCCTGCACTTGAGAAGCTCACATTTTTCTGGAGGAAACAGCAAGCGAATCTGTACAAACAAGCTCTAGATAGAATAAATAGGAAATAATTAACAGAGGGAAGGCACCAGAACCTAAATTAAGAGGAACTAGGGAAGGTTTCTTTGCACTCAAAGTACTCAGTGGTGGAAAGGATGTCATCCAAGAAATATATAAATGAAAAAATAAATGTGGTTGGTCAACCTGGAAAGAATGGCAGATGACTAAAGTACAGTTTATGGGTTCCATTAGTATGCTTGGGATGATAAGAGAAAGTAAGGAAAGGTCCCAACACATTGGGTGGACACCTTCCTCTCAGCATGGCCAACTACTAGGAACAAATGGGCAAAACTTGCTTATGGGAGACAGGCACGGATGGGTTCTGATCTGCATTGCTAGAGGAAATATTCCTCTTGATGAGATTCAGAGATCCATTTGAATTTTTGAGTACATGGGTATTTAAAGCAATACAATATGTAGTTAGATGGCACAGTGGATAGAGCACAGGACTTGGAGTCAGAAAGTCAGAAAGACTGAGTTCAAATCCATCCTCAAACACTTATTAGCTGTGTGTGGCAAATCACATAACCTCTGTCTGCCTCAGTTTCCTTATCTGTGAAATGATGATAAGAATAGCACCTACCTCCAAGGGTTATTGTGAGGATAAAAATGGAATATTTGTAATGAGCTCTGCAGATTTTAAACTATGTAGTTTAGAGAAGTAGTATGTAAAGCAGAAGTAAACTATGTAGTTTAGAGAAGGAGAAGGAGAAGAAGAAGAAGAAGAAGAAGAAGAAGAAGAAGAAGAAGAAGAAG